AGAGTGACCACCAGAGTGACCAGAGTGACTACGGGAGTGACCACAGGTGACCAGGAGTGACCACGGGAGTGACCAGGGGTGACCAGGAATGGCCAGAGTGACCACGGGACTGACCACGGGAGTGACCAGAGTGACCATGAGAGTGACCAGAGTGACCACAGGAGTGACCAGAGTGACCACAGGAGTGACCAGGAGTGACCAGGGTGACCAGGAGTGACCAGGAGTGACCAGGGAGATGTGGTCACCCAGGGAACCGATGTCACCCAGTGACCGAGGCACTGGACGTCACCTGTGGGTGGGCATGGATGGATGGACAGGTGGGCATGGATGGACAGGTGGGCATGGATGGACACATGGACATGGTGGCCATGGCCACTCAGACCGTGGCTGGTCCAGCACCGTGCTGGTTCTGGTGGCACCAAACCCCCCCCCCGGAGATGTCCCCAAACTCCCCCGAGCTCCAGCGCTGTGGTGGCACCGTGACCCCAAGATCCAGTGCCATGGTGGCACCGTGACCATGACGGAACCACAGCTGGTCCAGCACCGCGGTGCCACCACAGCTGCCACCACCCCCTGACCCACCCATCCCCACGGTGCCACCACAGCTGCCACCACCACCCCCTGACCCACCCATCCCCACGGTGCCACCGCGGCCGCTCACCTCCGTTGCAGATGGCGCCGGAATCGAACCAGCAGCCGGCGTCGGTGGCCGGGCTGGCGCTGTGTGGCCAGTGGGGGCTGTGGCTACGGTAGCTGAGGCCGCGCGTGCCCGGCTCCAGCCCGTACACCGCCCACAGGTGGTGGCCTTTGCCGTCCGTGTCCAGCACCACGTAGGGCACCGAGACGTCGCCGTCCTCGTTCACGGTGAAGGTTTGGCAGAAGCCCTCGAGCCGGAAGTCGCGGGCGTGGTCGGCCACGCTGGTGCCCATCACCCAGCGGCCGCTGCGGCGCGCGGCCTCCACCGCCGTGGCCAGGAAGTAGATGGAGTTGTAGATGGTGGAGAAGAGGGGGTGGACCTGGAGGAGGGGACGGGTGGGAGGTGGAGCGGTCATGTTGGTCATCTTCCGTTGGCCATGGTCAACTGAGATGGCCATGGTCATCTTCCATTGGCCATGGTCATCTTCCATTGGTCATGGTCATCTTCCATTGGCCATGGTCAACTGAGATGGCCACGGTCAACTGAGATGGCCACGGACATCTTTCATTGGCCATGGTCATCTCCCATTGGCCATGGTCATTTTCCATTGGACATGGTCAACTGAGATGGCCATGGTCATCT